TATATATATATATATATATATATATATATATATATATATATATATATATATATATATATATATATATCGATACAAGTGATCTCAGAGCGTTCACATATACGCTTTCAGCCGCAACCCGCATGTGCTCCCCCAACAGGTGGCCTGATCAACGTTCTCACTGAAAAGCGAATTGATTGATTGATCAGCTAAATTAGGTATCAGCTTTCATCAACATCATTTCGTCTGAAACTCTCAAGGAATTTCGTGCTGTTGGTATAGAGCAATCAGATAGCTATATTTACCCTTCAAATCTTAGTTTGTATACCTGTACCGATGGACAACAACCACTCGATAACCAGAGGAAACACTTGTAGCTATATATTGCGCACCTGTAGCTATATATTGCGCACCTGTAGCTATATATTGCGCACCCGTAGCTATTTATTGCGCACCCGTAGCTATATATTGCGCACCCGTAGCTATATATTGCGCACCTGTAGCTATATATTGCGCACCTGTAGCTATATATTGAGCACCTGTAGCTTAAAACCCTATGTATCGAGCACCTGTATTTATCTATATTCAATTATGTATATGAAAACCCTAAAACCATGTAGCGACGGTGGATGAACAGGATGGTGGTAAATAAATATTTATGTAGAGCTTGTTTTTTTTGCTTTTTTGTTTTTTCCTTGAAAAATATGGAGAACTTTTTTTAGAAACAAACTGATGACCCCAATTTATTGCACGTGCGATTATTTACAAACTCCAGGTTATGATAAAATATAACCTATTTATGCTACTAAATATTGATGTAACTACCTTATGGAATATATGTTTAGGCTCGGCAATATAATTGTGTGAGATACGTAGGTTGACATATCTTATATATTATCTGCTTTATATCTGTGAGTTGTGTAGGCTGACATATCTACATCTCAGATTGCTAGTTTCCTTGCATATAATTCTGTAGATTTTCTTGTGTCTGTGGAACGAACATTCCATACACAGACTTTGATCGAAGAAAAACATATTAAGTTGATATAACTGTAAGTATGGCTAAGAAAGGTAGTAATAAGAAGGGAAATAAGACCACTAAGGTAAAAGATACAACAAAATCATCTGCATCAAAAAATATTTCTGAACATGAACAAATGAAAAACACAGGAGCAGTCGATCTATCCTCGCTTGTGAATCAGTTTGGAGGTGATCGCAATGACGTCGAGTTGATTAAAGACGTTGATATGGACGACGATATTGAGGTACTGGAAGCAGATGGTACAAACATTACGCGACCGTCAAATAATGAGATCGCATCGTTTGTAGCTAATTTGGGTCTAACTGAGCTACCTGATGGTGATAGTGAGGTAGACGGCGATGATATAAATGAGGGGGAGGACAAGGACAATAATGATGAACATGGGAATTCCAACAGCGACCAAGATATAAGTGAGCATGAATCCGATGTCAGTGATAGTGCAGAAGAACAAGATGTAAACACAAAAGAAAATGATATGTTGTCGTTGCAGACGGAGGTGGCGGGAGTATTGAGTGATAGCGTGTTTCTGCGTTATAATAAGGAGCCAAAGCCGCGCAAGAAGCTGATATTTGAGGGGGGTGCTTGGTATATGAATAGGTTAAACCCTGTGGAGATGAGTGTAGGTGAGCTTGCTACTGATAAGGTCGAGGTTATCCGAGGGTACGCCGAGAAGTGCCTTGCTGAAGAGTCCCGGCTGTATGCATTAGGTTGGTATGGGGTAGCATTATCTCCCGTATGAGTCATCAATATGTATGCCATTCACGTTTTCAATATATATATCGATA